TTGGTTTACAATGATTTATTTACGCATAAAACGACATCATGAAATGCGTTTTACCTTGTATCTCATCGACGCTTTTGTTGTGTTGATTGTGTAATGGTGTGCTCTTCAAATGTTTGTGTGGCTCTGTTTGCGGGTTCCCCCTTCCATCACATAATAAGAAAGATTTCTTGCTTAGTCATCCACCATGGACGAAAACCAATTGATGGCTATTGCTCGCTCCTCACTGTTCATTCGATTCCCGCACGATATTTTCAGAACTTCACCTCCTATTAAACCACACATACCCATTAGCTTCCGTCTTCTTCTCCACTTCAAAATTCTCTCTTTCCTCGTCTCTCTGCCAACACATGAGGCTCTCTCCAGCAATCTCCCCTCTCTTTTCTGGATTATATCACGACTGGGGAAGAAAGCTGTGGGATAGATAGGTAATTTCTGGAAATTACTAGTCCTCTCTTTTCAAATTCTCTGTTCAAGTTCGTTCAATCAATAGTTTCATAATCAGAGAGTTTATCAGTTACTAAGATAAGCTTGAAGTGCCACATGGGATTGGTACTAATCTGCGTTCCCAGAAGATTAGAACACGCGAAACAGGATAAAAAATGGAAGAATCAACATCATCACCAACAACACAATTGGGTCTAATCGAGCAGTCTTTTAACTGCCGCTACTCGCGCTGGGTACGCGAAGCTCTCGACGAGTTGCCCGAAAGTTTCACCATCACCGATCCTTCTATTTCCGGCCACCCGATAGTGTTTGCGAGCCGGGGGTTCCTGAAAATGACGGGTTACTCGAGAGAGGAAGTGATTGGCAAGAACGGTCGGGTGTTTCAGGGACCCAGAACGAACCGAAGGTCCGTCATGGAGATTCGTCAGGCAATTCGAGAAGAGAGGACAGTAGAGGTGAGTTTGTTGAACTACCGCAAAGACGGGACACCATTTTGGATGTTGTTTCTTATGAGTCCGGTTTTCGGGAAGAAGGATGGGAGGGTTATTAATTTTGTGGCGGTTCAGGTCCCGATTTACGCAAAACAGAGGAGGAATGGTGCGAGGTTTAGTGATGGAGGTTCTGGTTTGCCGGAAGTTGTTTTGGGATCTTGTAGAAGAGAAGTTTGCTCCGATTCTTTGCTGGATTTTGGCCTTGTTTTGTCATTGGATACCAATCCTAGAGGTTTGTACTGTATAGACTGTTAATATAAATGCTAATCCTTGTTGGCAAATAGCAAATTGATCTCTTTCCATAGCATTGATTGTAGAGTCTTAAGAATTTTTTATTGACTGGTCAATATTTCTAGTGGTTAGTTTTTAGAAACTTCAGTAGCTTTGTTAGTCTGTTTTTGATTTTTTACTCTGGTGCAATTTACTAGAATTAATTGGAGCTGCTTCTTTTCCCGTTTTGGAATAAATCCATTTTTTTTTTCTTTATGTAATTTTATTTGCAAATAAATTCTACAATATTTTTGAAATTTGATTGAAATATAGCCTAACTGCATTCTGATAAGTCTCATTTGAGGTGTCTGTTATAGAATCTGAGAATGATGAGATAGAGCTGTCTGAGGCAAGTGATCTGAATAAGCAAAGAGCGCTAGGTGCCATCAACAACATCTTGTCTGTGCTAACCCACTACAGCGAATCGACTGGCAGAGTGGTATGTGGGAAGAGATGCTGCTTGCCCGGTGCTGGCTTCCTCAGCTCGTCACTAAATATATCTCTTGGTAGAATCAAACAAAGCTTTGTATTGTGAGTTATTTCAAAGTCCTAAATTTCTTAATTCATAGTAGAATTATGGCACTAGGAAGATATTTGATGTCTTCATTTATTTGTTATCTGCAACATATTCATGTCGCCCTTGCAGAACCGATTCTCAGTTACCTGACATGCCAATAGTTTATGCAAGTGATGCCTTCTTAAAATTGACCGGTGAGTGACGAGTGGTTTACCAAGTCCTTGTTGCTGGATGCTTTTATTGCTTGGGATAGCATTATCTTCACCATAAATATACACACGCACGGACACTGATTACTGGTTCCATTTTGTTACCTCCATAGGCTACGATAGACATGAAGTGTTGGGGCGCAATTGTCGATTTTTGAGTGGAGAGGACACTGATTCCTTGACATTATATCAGGTGTTATTTTGTTGTAATTTGTTGAATTAATCATGGACCTTTTGATGTGTGTATAATTATGCCTGTGGCTATATTTTTGCCCAGATAAAGCAAAGCATTCACGGTGAACGAGCATGCACAGTACGTATCTTAAATTACAGGTTGATTCTTTAACTGTTCTTCCAATATTTCTTGAGGAATTACATTAACATCTCTTGATTAAAGACATATATTGCTGTTTCAAATGCCAGGAAGGACAAGAGTATATTTTGGAATTTTCTTCACATATCACCAGTTCGCAATGCTTCTGGCAAGGTATGGTCATATACATAGATCTCATTTGTTGCTATTTCTGGTAATCAATTTAATTTTTAATGCTTGTCTTAGACACCTCAATGAGACTTTATCTTTGATTGAGGGCTGATGTTTACCAAATTGACTTCATAATAGAACCAGAAAAGCCAAATGCGGATTTGTTCGTCCGTATGCTCAAACTCTTATCTTTGCTGACAGATAGAGAACGGTAATTACAAATTTGTGTATCAAGGATACATTCTTTTGCCAATTTTCCTAATAAATCAGGATGTATTCCCTGGCTTATCAAAATTGACCTTAACTTGCAAAGCTACTGATATAGGTTCATAAACCTAAATGCATGGGGATGAACAATATACTCAGAATATGTTTTGAACCATGGTCCCTGCTCTAGCTGATATAGGTTCATAAACCTAAATGCATGGAGATGAGTTGTTTACTCATAGAATATTTGTTGAACCACGGTCACTGCTCTATGAATAATTTGTGTAATTTGTACTTAGAATAACCTGTGAATACTAACTCAAGGAAAATTAACAATTTAATACTTTAACTAAAGGAAAAAGACTACATGAGAGAATAAAATATAATAAAACATTATACTAGTACGCGAATTGAGTGCATAGGATAATAGTCCTTGTCACATGAGAGCTCTGGTATTGCATTTGGGGTATCTTTAGGATTTGGTTTATTCATATTGGTCCTAATTTACTCGACATATATACAAAGCTTCTTAAATGGTTGGTTTGAGGATCTTCTTGTTCCATCAGTTAGTTTAAGGTCAAGTGCAGTTATTATGTCCAATAGAATTGGCTGTGGAAACTGGTCTTATAAATGTATGCTGTCCCCACAGGCAGCATAGGAAGCACTAGAGAGCTGAGGCGGTACTATCTTGTGACTTGGGATGTAGTGAAGACCTACTTTGGTGAGAGGTCTTGGCATAAGATTTTAATCCGTTGTGAACAAACCTTTGTTAGTGAAGTTGCTTGGAAATTTATATCATGGAGTAGTTGTTTGTGGGGATAGGTGATTATTGCAAAATGCGGGTTAGACAATAAGGGTTGGAAGTTTGCTAGGATCAGCCAGAGTTATGCTACTAGTCTTTGGAAGTTGATTAGTAAGGATTAAAGCTATCCTTTTAGCTTCTTGTGTTGACTGGTAATAATGAAGCTTCAAGCTTTTGGGTGAATCGGTGGTGGAGATAGAGACTACACAAGGCTAGATTTCCTACTATCTTCGTTATTACTAGGAACAAGGATGTTATAGTTAGTGATATTGTGGTTTGCAATGGGAGCCTTACCTCCTGAGTGAGACGTCTAGCTCCTGCTGCATCTCAATAATTGGTAGATTGTTGGCATGTCTCTCTCAGAAGCCTTGCTCATGGCTTAGATCTACGAAAAAGAAAGAGAGAACATAAAAAGAGAGATTGATTTGCTTTTGAGGTAATAAATATTTGATGCCTTCATTCGTAGAACTCTTGCCTGTTTATAGGCCACAAATGGCAGGAAAAATGAGCGAAAGGGGAAGCGGGAACCTCCAGGCGCCTGGAGGTTGCAACGGCTGAACAGTCGGCAGTTAGGGGTCACTGTCAAACGGTTTTTCAGTTTTACTGTTCCAAAAACCTAACCCTAATTGGTTACAGTGGGAAAAATCCCCTTTGCCCCTGTGAGTACATTTTCTTTTTGACCTTTTCTTCTGTAGTACATTACCAGAGGCTTTGGTAGCTTGTTGACAATACCTTCACCTTAAGCATCAATCTCGTTCTCAAGGTTGAGATGTAGAAATTACTGCTGTATACATTCATAATCTTCTTAAGTACATTCTTTTGCTGAAGTGCATTCCCACTGTTCGAGGACTTGTTCTACAGGCAGCATTCCTTGTAGGATAACCCACTGTCATAGTATTTGTTGGGGTTGAACACTGAGTAAGTCTTCTTCTTTCTTGTCTGGTAAGTGTTCGATTACCATGTCTCCTCTTTCCGTGTACTTCTTAAGTTGTTATACGTGAAACACCGGGTGGATTCAAGATGAAGGAGGCAGCTGAAGCTTATAATCTGCTGCTCCAATCTTCTGAATTATCTGAAAGAGCCCATAGAAGCGAGGTTATAGCATGGATCTTCTTGTTTGTCTTATTGACCCTTGCTTGTATGGTTGCAGTTTGAGTAGTACCCAATCTTGTTTCTTAAAACTTCTTTCACAGTAGTTCCTATCTGCATGTTACTTAGTTCTGGTTTGGGCTTTCAAGAGTTGTTGTCAGATCATTCGGTTAACATCTTCTATTTTTGCTAGTAGTTCTTCAACAGATAGTGAAGCTGGTGAAAAGTTAACTATGTCGGAGAAATGTGGAGGTGAGAACCCATAGAGAGCTTATAAGAGAGTCATTTTGGGCCTGTGTGGTAGGATGTGTTATACCACCATTCAGTAGTGGATAACCATTTTACCCATGTTTTGGATTGATCATGAGTCATGCATCGTAAGTAAATTTTCAGATATTAATTGAGCTGCTTCGTCTGACTATCTGCTTGCAGATGATAAGCAGTGCTAGAATGTAGATTGGTTCCTACTGCTTTCATCAATTCCTTCGAAAAGAGACTAGTGAATTAGGGGTTCCTATCTGATACTATGACACATGGTATTCTATGCAACTTTTGAATAGTCTCCATGTAAAGGTACGCTACTTTTCGAGTTGTAAAGGGATGCCATAAAGGAATAAAATGACCATACTTAGTGAACCAGTCTACTATCACCAGAACAATGTCTTTT